GAGATATATATGTATCAACTTTCATTGACAAACGCCTGTTGGTGAAGGAGTAATGATCATTCATAGTATTTATCATAAAAAAATTCAGTTATTTTTACATCAGGATGGCAATATGGTGACGTCACAATTTCCGATCGGCTATTATGATATATAAAATCATATCTACAACTCATGTGCTTTTAGAATATGTAATAAAAATTGGGGGTCACCTTTCATCCTTAGGAGCTATATTTGAATATAAATAAGCATAATTTTAAGCATATGTAATATTTGACGCACGCGTACGCGAACGTTAAGACGCGCAAACAAAAAAGTAAGATACCTAACATTACACCTTGACCTGAAATATAAGGCCATTTTATATTATTCAGAAATGACGAATGGTTAAGATGATATGACGTCATCAACGTTTTGAAAAAAGAAATATAATTTTTTTCTTCTTTTTAAATTCAGATGGCAATATGATGACGTCACAATGGCCGATCAGCTATTATGATATATAAAATCACATCTACAGCTCATGTGCTTTCAAAATATGTAATAGAAGTTAAGGGTCACCTTTCATCCTAAGGAGCTATAACTGATTTAAAAAAAGACATGATATAAAGCATATATTAATTTTGATGCACGCGAACGCTCGCGTTATTACGCGCGCACAAAAATATAATGTACATAACATTTAACCATGACTAAAAGCACTGTGCATGTAAAGAGGCTAAATTAGAGTAACTGTTTACATTATTTGTTTTTCATGGTTCAAATATTTCACAAGCTAATCAGTAGATAATAAATAATTATTTTAATGAATGTTAGTTTGCACAAAATATATAAGCAGGCACGATTATGACTGTCTCTTATACACATCTAGATGTGTATAAGAGACAGATGGAAAGGCGTGGCACCGAAGCCGTCAAGCAATTAACAAGCGCATCATGAAGCCTGTGGAAATTACACAGTACATTCCAGCCATGAAAAGTGTAACAGATGACACGATTGCACGTTTGAGGAGAATTCAAATAAAGGAGGGAGACAAAAAAGACCTTATTCCAGACCTTGAAGGGGAGCTTTTCAAGTGGTCCATGGAAGGTAAGTAACAGAGTTAAACCCTATCCAATAGAGTATCACAATTTAAAACTTGTTGAACTGACATGTGTTCTCCATAAGGTATTCGGATCATGAAGGTATACAGATATAAAAGATTTTTAAAAAAATCAATTTGAATTCAAATGCTAAGCCAATATCTACACGAATTACCTCCACAATGCTGATAGGCTCACTTTAAGAGCTTCAAGAACCCTCTATGAATCTGAGCGGTTGTCATTTCATCACATCTGCTTGTTCAGGAAAATTATGCTCTCATTGCATGGCCAATTCAATTTATTGAAAACACTGTTCATGCAGTGCAACTTGTACAAAACCATAAGAAAAGAAATATAGAGAAAATAATACATGAAATAAAATAAAAGATAACTTGAGATTACAAAATACAAAGTGATATTCAAAGGTATTCTCAGAAAAAAAAAACCATGCAGTAAATAATTAATTTAAAGTGTATTGAGCCATTAGCAACTATTTCCAGTAGTGATGGCGTAAAATCAGCACAATCAGAATATAAAATCTCTTCAAATCCCACACAAGTTGATCTTGCCATAAGCCGACCCCTCAGTCAGTTGAAATTAAGGGTTTGACATTATGCATTAAGTATTTTTAAAGATTACTAACACTTCACTTTCATAATTGTTGCAATTTTCAGGTTTTAAAAAATTGATAAATTCCAATTGATGTTGGGCTTATGCATGGGCGTTGATCGGTTGGGGACAGAGGGGATACACCCCCCTCCCCCACTTTTGAAAGTAGGGACCATCATATCAATTGTCCGCCCACTTTTTACCAATATTTTTATGGGCGTAACGGTTTGCAGAGGCAAAATTTATTGTGAAAACATTGTACTGTACGTTATTAAAATTGGATGCGTGTAAACCTATTAGGCGATCATTTTTACAAACTCGAAAGTGCACAATTTTTTCTATAAAAGATTTGTTCCTTTTGTATATTATTAAGGCCCGTCACTAGTGTTAAATATTATCTGAATACATACATTTCTGTCTTCCATAATTAAAAAAATTATAGTTAGTTAATTGAATTTTTTATAGCCGTTATTAAACAATAATAATACAGCCTTTGACATGGATATTTAAATATAGTGATACGACAAGTTTACAAACTTGTAACGATGTTACGTTGACGCAATCTCGCCATGACGTCATGATAATGATATATAAAGTAAATCACCAATAATGGTTGTGAAATAAAAAAGCTAACTTTTTATTTTCATTTTTTTTTTTAAATTTGAATTTAATGAGGGACGTGATCCATCCAGCAGAAGCTGATCATTAGGGACCATTAACATGTAACAAAACAAAATACTGAAAATTTCTTAACTACCAATATAAATCAGAATTAGAATATAAATTATCAAACATTAATAAAATTATTACCACTTAATCAAACATTAATAAAAATATTACCACTTAAAATTAATATAACTAAAAATATAATATGCAGATTATTGCAACAGCCATAAGAATTAAGTACAAAATTAAATATATGCTTGTAATGTTTTGAGTGCTTCCTATCTCCCTAGTCCTATTTGATCGCTAATTTGACGGTAGTATCATTTCCACTCATGCACAATAGTGTAGTCGCAATACAACTTGCACAAAAGTGAAATTCAAAAAGAGGAGAAAAGGAAAACCTCTTGGTTGATTTTAAAAGCACTGTGCATGTAAAGAGGCTAAATTAGAGTAACTGTTTACATTATTTGTTTTTCATGGTTCAAATATTTCACAAGCTAATCAGTAGATAATAAATAATTATTTTAATGAATGTTAGTTTGCACAAAATATATAAGCAGGCACGATTATGATTACCAGTGTAAATTGAAAAACTTGTTATGATGAATATTTCAGTGGTAGATTCAAGTGGGCCCAACCTAATTTTTTTCAAAATTGGAGAAAAAAGAAAATTGTTTTTCAGGGGGGCCCCAAGCCGGCCCCCACCTAAATTTTTCAAATTAAAAAAAAAATTAGAAAAAATGTTCTTACCACAACCATGTTTGGGCTCAGGTGGTCTACGCTCCATCTGTAAAAGCCCCTCGCTGACCCCCTCAATTTCGAATTCCAAGGATCCGTCACTGTATTATGAATATGTAGTGTGGAAATAAATGTAATAAAATTTGCATTCCTTATCAATTAGATACTACTTTAAAAAGGCTGTAAACGCCAGAGCTTCAGGGGGATTCACCCTCTGGACTGCTTTAATGTACAATTCGTCACCATCCCACCCCCCTCCCCCCGTCACTTTCAACAACGGATTGACGCTAATGGGCTTATGTCACACTTTGAAGGCATAATAGTTTATACTGGTTATGCATGATTCAGTTGAATTGAAGAGCAACCTTAGTACTCTCATCGTACATATTCTTTAACCGATTAAAATGTTAAAATTAGAAATCGATTTGCATAGTGGTAATTTAATACCGTTGTCATAAAATGCTTCATTTCATAATGCAAAATGCTTCTTGCCATTTTGAAAAAAAAAAGGCAGGTCGACATCACTCTAACTAATATGTTAGATCCTCTTCTATTCTGTGTAGGAGTTACAAAAGTTCTCTTGGATCATCGCCTTGGTCTACTGTCTGACAAGATTGATAAACAATCACAGAGTTTCATTGATGCCATTCAAGAAGTCTTTAGAACAACATTTGAGCTGTTGTTATTTACTAATCTCCACAAACGCTTCAATACAAAATTGTGGCAGCGACATGTTGCAGGTTGGGATACTATTATTATAGTCAGTAAGTAACTGGTACGAAAAATCTGAAAATTAAGAGTTGATAGCTGATATTTAGTTATTAATAGCTGATGTTTAGAATGTGGGAGGTAATGTCTCCACCTCCAAGCAATTAAATTGTATACTGAAATATGGTGTTGAGTTCTCGTAAACTAGCAATAAAGACAATGAATACAACAGTATAACTCATAGAACAGAATTGTATTCTTTCTTCGTGGTTCTCTCTCTGTGGCTCCTGCCCTCAACGTTGGTATTGTCACACAGGACAACAGTAAGAACACCACATTTCCCCCTCTCTAAAAGCAGAAACTATAATCACAGTAAAAATGACTGTATACCATATAAGGTACAATGTAAACTCCATTGCCTTTGTAAAAATCTGTCTCTTATACACTAACAATAAACACTTCTATTTCTTACTGGTACCCATAACATAGTCACGAGTCCATCTAGGTGGATTTCTAACTCTCTTACTCCTTGAGAAACGTGAACCTAACTGAGTTGAACTGTTGTTCATCGAATCATCAGCAGTTGGAAAACTATAAAGTCACTACTGTGATCATCACGACTATCTCCCCCTCGGCCTAATAGGGTTGGCTTTCCTAGAAATAGGGCTATGTGTTTCACATTCCATTTTTTACCATTGGTCATTACGCAAGTGTTTAGACCAATATGTTGTCTAATTTCCACCGGTTCAGTAAATTTACTCTCACCCTTGTGGACATTCCAAACTGGACATTTATCGATTCGCGCCGTTTGAAAATATAAAATCCGGTTAAAGCGCTCGACAGGACTATTTCCTTCTGGGTGATACCCGCAGAAAATCTGTGTTTGATGTTAGGTTTTTGCAAGAAAGTTTCAAACTCCTGGCTTGTTAACTGCGTACCATTATCAGAAACTAGTTCTTCAGGATAACCTTCACGACTGAATACCTTAGTCAAAAAATAAATTACAGTTTTGGCCGTAATATTTGGGCAAAACCCAACTTCTGGCCATTTGCTTCAGTAATCGATTAATGAGATAATGTAACGCTCGTTCGCAGGTGCAGAATAATTTGGACCTATTAAATCAATCCCGAGCTTTTGCCATGGACGTTCTGGCAATTGTACCGGCTGCATAGGAGCCACTCGTGTTTTCGCAGACTTGTCAGCAATTTGGCAAGTTAAACAATTAGTAATTGTGTCCGTTATGTGTACGTCCATTTTAGGCCACCAGTAAAAATCTCTTAATCTTTGTTTGGTTCGCACAATACCTTGATGATTTTCATGGGCCAGATTAACTAATTTGGAGGTAAGTGCTGCTGGTATTATCACGCGTTGACCACGAAAAATAATATCATTATGAATCGAGAACTCATCTCTAATACGGGAATAGGGCTTAATGATTTCTGGAATATGCTTTTTATCATTCGGCCACCATTATGCATACTTCATCATTATTTGTAGCCTGTTCTAATTCAATGTGTGTGATAGCGCTATAAGTATCGTTTAGAACTTGACAGACTGCATCACTGTCATCTTCATTTATCGCGGAATCGAGTGTAGGAATGGGTAACCTCGAAAGGGAATCGGCAATTCTGTTCTGAACGCCTGGTTTGTACTCAACCGTATAATTGTAATGTAGTAAACGAGCGTTCCATCTTGCGATCCGCATTGGTCTACGACCTGTTCCTTTTGAAGAAAGTAATGTAACCAATGCCTGATGATCAGTACGAAGGGTAAAATGTCTCCCCCCATAAATAAGTATGCCATTTTTCTATAGCCCAAACACAAGCAAGTGCTTCGTTCTCCGACTGAGTAATTTCGTTCGGGTGCAGTTAATGTTCGAATACAAATGAAAATGTTCAGCACCGAAAACGACAGCTAACATTTCGCGCTCTGTTTGCGAGTATCGCTGTTCTACACCGGTCAACGATCTGCTAGCGTATCCTATAACTTTGCCATCTTGGCAGAGCATAGCGGCTAATCCTGTTGGGCTTGCATCCACTAACACCTGCGAGTCTTTCTGAATGTCGAAGTATGTCATCACTGTGGGGCTGATGAGGGCGGTTTTAAGTTTAATAAAAGCTTGTTCAGATGTGTATAAGAGACAGTCTACAAGTTGATCTCGTAGCATTTCGTCCTCAAACGTACCAAATTCGCATCGTGAAGCCAGTTCGCGGAGCGCTGCAATGTAATTGTCGACTGATTCTTGCGGGAGCTGTGCACGCTGACGAAATCTATATCTCTCAGCCACCACACTAACCTTTGGTGCAAAATGACTCTGCAATGTTGTCATTGCCTTTGTAAAAATATCGTCACCTGCTTCTCCTAGTTCTGGTATCGTGTAAAAAATGCGTTGGCCTTCCGGACCTAGCGAGTGTAAAAGTATAGCTGTTCTACGCTCCGGCGATTCCTTCACTGTATTCGAAGCGAGTAGGTAATTCTCGAATAATCGCCTCCACTGCAACCACGGTATGACAGGGTCTCCCGGCGTAGGCAGAAACTGCACGGGTGCCTCGATTTGTGTGCTTGTCATTGTAATGACTTGTAGTAAAATTTCGAACTTGTAAATGTAGGAATAATAGCACCCACAATCAATAATTTTCCTCGTCGCCAAATGTGGTGTTGAGTTCTCGTAAACTAGCCATAAAGACCATATAATACAACAGTATAACTCATAGAACAGAATTGTATTCTTTCCTCGTGGTTCTCTCTCTGTGGCAGCTCCTGCCCTCAACGTCGGTATTGTCACACAGGACAACAGTAAGAACACCACATGAAATAAGGTCAGCGTTTCAATTGAAACATCACAGTTTTCGGCTGATATTTTTGAGCTCCATATAACTATACCACCTTTAACGTTTATTAAAAAGTGGTCTAACTCCACCTACAAATGTGACTTAGAATAGGCATTCGAGTGTGTGATGACACTATCAATCTTAATGAAGGTGTTCATAATAATTGATTCACAAACGATTGTTATTGGAAGCGTGGTCAGGCATACTTTTGCAAGAATAAGGGCACATCTGATTAAAATTAGTAGCATCCACTGTATTATACATAAAATTGCAACACTGTCGTTGTAGTGTGTTAACTGCAAAAAAAATTACTCCGTAATGTCCCTGTCGCAATTGGGAAGTATTCCCGATTTTATCGTTTTTAATCCAGCGTTGCCGAAAGCTGTCAGTAATCGTGTGGCGATTTTTATGGAATCAAGGGTTACGAAAAACAGACATCGCAAAGGCCTGTAACACTCTCGGAATATTCAGCATGAACCTGTGTACATATTCAAAGAGCAAAGGTCATCATTGTGCTATTGTGCAAAATATGCCAGCAATACCGTACCCCTTTTAGCAAAGTTTGAATAAGCTCGTGTAAAGAAAACAGTTGTTTTGGTATGTGTGTTTAAAAATGAGCACCCATCTCCAGTTTAACATTTTTTTATCCAATGTAAATAACAATCAACAATTTAAAATTCTTTATTGTCATTGATCAAACATAGTGTCAACATGGTATCGTGCGAGAGTCAAATTTACTCAATAATCCCATTTCAGCAAAGAATTTGATTGAACATCGAGTTGAAAAGTTGATGTCAGCAAAAGAAAAGGGCTTAGAGGTCAAAGAAGATACTTTCTTATGGGCTTTAATTTCTAACAGTGATCTCACTCAGGATGAAATATTTGGCAACTTGTCTGAACTGATAGGAGCTGCAATTGATACGGTATTTGTTTTCATCTATTCTACTGTGAGTCCGCACTAGTCCTGCCAAAATGTTGTCGATCTGTAAACATACCGTGATTTTCTGACCCTGTCATTTCTTCATTCCAGCCATGTCATTGTATACAGTAGCGTTCCTTTTAAGCAACAACAACTTAAGCTAATAAGAAATGTTTTCGCCTATTATGTTGTGATCATAATCATTAATTTAGAGTGGGATAGTAGCTTCATAGTCCAAGCTCCTGGCTTCAAATTCTGTTAGAATCACATGTTTTTTTGCTGATCCTAAAAAGTTTATATAGTACCATTTTTGTACTGTAAGTGATCAGTTGCTTGCTGTTGCATAAGAATCAAAACATAGATTTATTCGATGCTAATGTCACTGTAATTCATTGTGATTGAAAGATCTGATCTTCATTTTAGCCCATAATCTTGCTAGATAACTTGTGATCTACAGTTTCCCTCTCATAGTTGCTTCTTTTTGATATTAATGTTTAAATTGAATTAAGGCTTTCTCTTATTTTTAAGACTTCATACACCCTCATATGGACGCTATACTTGCTAGCACACAATCCTGAAGCTCAAGAAAAACTGCGTACAGAGATCTGCGATAGCATACCGGTCGGTAAACAGCTCACTCAAGATGATTTGGCCAAGTTGGTGTATATGAGGATGGTAATAAAAGAGTCCTTGAGGTATGTATAACTATGAAGGTACCAGTAGTGCCTTATTATGTGCAATTTCCTGAATAAAAACATAGGTAAAACTTGCCAACTTTTTCAAAAATAGCTTTATTCATTTTTATACCAATAACAGTTTAAAAGGGTAGCTAGCCTTGGTGCTACCTGTTTTTATATTAATGTGTTTATTACTGTATTATATACAGGATGAAACCAGTTGTAAGTGGATTAACAAGAAAGCTCGACAGAGATATTGTATTGGGCGGGTATCATATCCCAGCAAAGGTCTGTTTCTTTCAAATGTCTTTTAATACTCATCTTTGTATTAAATTGCAAACTTTCAAGACAAATCATTTACAATTAATTTATCATTACGACGTTAGACCACAATTGGTGTGCAGTTTTATCCTATGTTGAAAGATCCGCACTACTTTGAGGACCCGTCACAGTTTCGACCCGAGCGCTGGGATCGGACGAAGAAAAACGACAGTAAAGGTGTCAATGCATTTGCATCAATTCCATTTGGTTTTGGCACAAGAATGTGCGTCGGTGAGTTGACTCGATCAATTTTGTGTTCTTTTTCTACTGGGTACTGTTAGGAAAGTAGTAGTATCCTACTGAACAGCCTCCCTAGAATATGTTTAAATTTTGGCCTAAAAAACAAAGGATAACAAAGAAATGATCCGGCAGACTTACTGTATTTTGATTGGGGTGCTCTTTTGGTACTAATCAGAGAACCAGGAGACCATAACCCAGAGGCCTGCACTTTTTCACAGATGTTGAGACCTTCTTTAACAAGCACAGATGCCATATTCCACACATGAGACCAATGACTAAAACGTCCTTTGTAAAACACCATGCGCAGTGGCGTAGAAAAGTATTTTTCATTGAGGGGGATGATTGGCGTGTTAGCCAGTGTCGTAACAGGCGGGGGGGGGGAAACTGCCCCTCCCCTGACGGTTTTTACCGGACTGACCAAGCCGTCGTACACGGCTGGGTAATAAGAGAAAAGAAAGAGGGGAGAGGGAGGGAAAGAGAAAGAAGAGGAAAAGAAAAGGAAAGAAAAAGAAAAAAGAAGAGAAAAATAAAGGAAGAATAATAAGGAAGATATCATAATGACCAGACTCACAACACCCTACAACCCCTTCTCCACTTCAAAAACTGTCATAACTCCTTTGATCTATGCTGCCCGATGGCGTAACCACTGGGGGACAAGGGGAAAATATCTATCTTTGAAAAATCTTCCCCACCCCTT